GGAATCAAATTTCCAAATTTGTAGAGGGAGCAATGAAATATGATAACATTTCAATAAATAACCCAAAATACAACCCTAAGAATCCTGAAACACTAATCAGAAAGAATATATGCACCCCTATGTTCATAGCAGCACAATTTACAATAGCTAAGATCTGGAAACAGCCCAAGTGCCCATCAGTAGATGAGTGGATAAAAAAGCTGTGTGACATTTACACAATGGAATACTATGCAGCTGTAAAGAAGAAGGGGAAAACAAAGGCAAATAGCGGAGGAAAAAGAAACAGAGAAGGCTGGACACACAGAAAGTACAAAGAAAGATAGTAGAAATAAGCCCAAATATATCATTAATCACAATAAAAACAAATGAACTAATCTTCCTGGTTAAAAGACAGAGACTGTCGCCTTAACTTTTTAAAATTACAGGAATAGTCCGTTTTCAAGAGACACATTTAAAACACAAAGAGAGAGAAATGTTGAAAGTAAAAGGATGGAAAAGGGAATGGCAGGCAAATTCTGAAGAGCAGAAAGCTGAGGTGACTCCATTAATACCAAACAAAGTAGCCTTCCACACACAACGAAGTGAAGTGTGTCATTTCATCATGATGACGGATTCAGCTCTCTAAGAAGATAGTCATTGTTAACTTGGATGTATCTCTCAAATCTGCCATGTTCACTCCTCTTTCAGTGTCACCACTTGAGTTCAGTCCTTTGTCAGCCCCTGGGCTTTCATTAGGCCCTACTGCAGTTCATTCTCCACTCAACAGCCAGTGTGGCCATCCTACAGTTCAGATGGCTCCTCATGATAAAGCCTGGACTCCTGGGCATGATGTGTCCCCACGGTGCAGCCTCGTCTGCACTGTACCCACCCCTTTCTACTTCTGCCCCATCACAGCTGACACCCTCCATCATTTCCTCTGGTCTCGAGGCCTATGAACATCCTCTTGCCTTTGTCTGGTCTGGCCTGGCCTTCTACTCATGCGGTTGGCCTAAATGTCCCCTCCTCTGGGAAGACTACGCTGCCCTCCCTCTTCTGGATTAGGGCCCCTCCTGTTCTGGTTCTAAGAAGACATTTAGTATATGTCATAGCATTATTTCACTTTGTCATCCTTGCTCGACATCATGAGTTATTAAGTAAATGCAAGTCAAAACCACCATTGTATACCACTTCATACCCACTAGAATGGCTAGCATTTTTTTTAAATTTGTTTTTTTAAACCACAATAACAAGAGTTGGCCTGGATGTGGAGAAGTTGGAACCCTTGTTCGTTGCTGGTGGAAATGGAAAATGCTGGAGCTGCTTTGAAAACAGTTTGTTTCTCAAAAAGTTAAACATACACTTACCATATGACCCAACAATTAGCAATTCTACTCCTAGATATATACCTAAGAGAACTGAAAATATGTTCACACAAAAACTTACACATGAGTGTTCATAGCAGCATATCTCATAATAACCCACACTAGAAACAACCCAAGCATTCATCTCCTGGTGAATGGAGATGCAGAGTGGTCAAGAGGAGGTGGGACGCTCCCAGTGTGTGGATCTGTGTTGCGCCAGAGACTTGACACAAGACATCGTGGAATGGAGAGAATTGCACTGAGGTCTGGGAACACCAAAGCCAGAAAGTCCTAGAGGAAGGCCAATAAATAGCATTTCCAGGAAGGGAAACAGCTGGAGCAAAGCCCTGGAGGAGGGAGAGCCTGTTGGGCTTACAGAGGACAAGGAGCAGAGATGTTTAAGGAGGGAGCATGGGGTGGGAAGTGGTGAGCGGTGGACTAGGCAGACTCCCACTCCAGGAGTAAGGCAAAACGGGGAAGAAGACTGATGTCGGGTCTCAGTGCTCACCACCCTCTTGCCTTGGTAAGCCCCATGGTCTGTTCAGACCACAGCGCCCTGACCCTGACCCTGACCTTGGCCCTGGCCCCTTGGCCGAGCCAGCAGAGCTGATGCACGCGGCCGGTACTTCTGGTGTGAGAACCGGCCTTCCCCCAGAGCAGAGACCCTGCAGGCTCCTCTCAGCTGCCCTGCTCGCCCGGAAGCCTGCACGGCTTGGGGCTGGTGTGTGGCCTTGGCAGGTCCTAGCAGCCTGGGTCTCATTGTTTTCATGCCCTAACAGACCTCAGAAAAGAGAGACTCTAACTCCCAATGGCATTTAACTTCACTCTTTAAACATCTGGGTCACAGATATGTTTAGTTAATTAATGTTCTTAACGCTACTCATTTGCCTCCTGGATAATAGATTGATTCATAATTCCAGTAAGCAGCTGTGTATGTCTTTCCCCTGAACATAAAGGCAGCTTGTTGTCATTCATCACTTTGCATTTGGTGAATTTAAATATATTCAGAGACATTGTTTAGGGAGAGGTGGGAGAGAGTTTCTGATTTTTCTTATCATTTCGCCTCTAATAATTACTCTGATTTGGAACTAATTTGGGTTTAAAGCACATGTTAACTGCATCTCTCTCAAGGGCACTTAATAAACTCCCTGTCACTTGTTTTGGGGGGACCGGGAGGGCTTCCCTTTGGGGATTAGAGCAGAGGGTTTCTGAGTAGCTTCCACCAGGAGATTGGAGCCCCCGAGGAGAATCTTATCCCCTGGAGAAGAGGGACTCATGTCCCTGAGCAGAGCTGCCTTCTTGCTCCATCCCCAGCCAAAAATGCCCAAGCTCTCAAGAGGAGGAGAGGATTATCTTGGAGGAGGTCCCTTTGTTGCTCAGCTGCTGGGTCAGGGCCACCAACTGCAGGGTCCCTAGAGACCCAAGAGAGGCCAGGGCCCAGCCAGGTGAGCAGATGTCTTCATGCCTTGGTTTCCTCACCTTTAAAAAGGGGAGAGTAGTAGCACCTATCTAAAGGGTTTTATGACAACTCCACTGTTTACCCTCTGTACATTCTTAAAAATGATGCAGAGTATGCCTTCATCACCTGCAAGCTGCTAATTGTATTTATTTTATTAAGATCCAGCCTGGCCGGGCGTGGCTCAGCGGTTGAGCGTCCGCCTAGGATCCAGGCGATCAGGGTTCGATTCCTGGTCAGGGCACATGCCCGGGTTGCGGGCTCAATCAATGACTCTCTCATCATTGATGTTTCTCTCTCTCTCTCTCCTTCTCCTTTCCTCTCTCTGAAATCAATAAAGATGTATTTTAAAAAATTAAAAAAAAAGATCCAGATGTATAGCAATGACCATCACTCCTACGCTCGTCACCTCTTAGGATTGTAAGAACAAACAACAAGATCGTGCCAGCCTCTCTCATTGCCTCACCAGCCTACATGGGAATCCTCTCAGGGGGAGCACAGCCCCACCCTTATGTTCTCAGGAGCCTATATCCAGGCTGGGCACACAGAGGAGTCTTCAAAACATGTTTGTAGAGTTAAATGTAGATGGGGCTTCTTTTTTTTTTTTTTAATGAGAATGTTCACCAGATTTACAATGTGCTCATTCACAAACACATTTTTGAGCACCTGGTCTGTGATTGTCCTCCTAGCAAGGAATGAAATAAACGAGGCGCAGTCCCTGCCCCTAAAGGAGTGTAGATGGGAGGTAAATGCATTTGTTCAAAATTGGAATACAGAGTTTTAAACAGCGTGGACAGGCAGGAGAGGGGAGGCCACTGAAGTCCTAGGAGCCCTGCTGGGGGAAGGTTTCTCAGGCAACACTATCTCTGTATCAGTTAACTATTGCTGCATAACAACTATCCCAAATTTGGTGGCATAAAACAATATGCATTCATTATTGTTCATGAGTGCATAGGCCATCTGGATGCTTCTGTGATCTGGACCAGGCTCAGCTGATTTTGGTGGGATTCGTTGACGCGTCTCCTATCAGCTAGCAGTTCGGCTGAGGGCTACCTGATCTCCAATGACATCATCTCTTGGTCAGGTGGTGGTCTCTCACTCTCCACCAGGCCATCCTGAGCTGCCATGGTGGCAGCAGGGTTTCAAGAGAGTGGGAGTATGCACAGTCTAATTCAGGAGCAGGCACATCCTTCCTTCTACTACATTTTGTTGACCAAAGCAAGTCACCAATATTCATGGGATGTGAAATTAGACTCCACTTGATGGAAATTGCTGCAAAGTCACATTACCAATGGTGTACAGAAGGAAGAGTGAAGGATGTGGCCATTTTTGCAATTTCCCGCAATCTCTCCGCTCACTTTGCAGTACATGGAGCACAAAACCAGTACCAGGACTGTGTTGCTACACATTTAGGATGTTATAAATCATGTTGCAATAAATACCCTACACATACTTTTGTTCACAGTTCTGCTTATTTCCTTGGGATAGATTTCTAAAAGTGGATTTATTGAGTCAAAGGAGAGGAACACTTTAAAAGCAGAAATTGTATGTTTTGAAATCCCCTTTTGCAAGGTTGTAATAATTTACCCTCTCTCCAACCCATCTCATGCTAACCTTGACAAAATAGAAGTAAGTTCTTTTTTAAAATGTGGTATTGCATTGCTGTTTTATTTATTTTAAAACATCTGATGTTGAATGCTTTTAAATAATGTCTGTTTCTTCTTTTGTTCACTGCTTCTTCAGGCCCTTTGCAGTAGGGTAGATTTCATTAATCCCCAATTACAAAATGAGGAGGGAATGGAGGCTCAGAAAGCTTAAGTGAATTACTCAAGGTGGCCCAGCCAGCGGGAAGCAGAGCCAAGCTGAGCCAAGCTTTAGAAATCAGCTGTCCTGCCCTTTCACTTATTCCCGCTCCCCTGTGTTGCTGGATAGAAGCCTAGACTCCTGAAATATTGACAGGGACATGCTTAGGAAAAAAATCAGAGAGTGGACAGGGGCAATCAGTATCCAGGCTTAGCAATCCAGAGGGCTTCCTGGCCAGGGCGAGTTGGGTGTGTGGGGGTGTGACAAGTCTGACATGGTGGCCAGGACTGCGGCACTGACAGAGGCCTGGGTGACACCTGCAGACCTAAGCCCTCTCTTCCTTCCTGGCCTAACCCCTACCTCCTGCCCCTCCTCCCCTGCCACTCTGCTCTCTCCCCCAGCTCGCCCGCTACACCAAGGAAGGCTTTTTGCACTTGGGAGCCCTGGGGAGCACCACGCTCCTCCCTGACACCCGCTGCCTGGTAGACAACTCCAAGAGTCGGTTGCCCCAGTTGCTTGACTGTGACAAGGTCAAGAGCAGCCTGTACAAGCGGTGGAACTTCATCCAGGTGAGTGCTCCATGGACAGGGCCAGCACCCCAGAGGAGGATGCTGCAGATCGCAGGGCAATCTGGCTTCCCCAAGGGTACCCAGCAAAGTGCACCAAAGGTCTCCCAGCCCTGGGCCAGCTGCCTGGATCCAGAGCATATTTGGCGGGTAATGAGTGGGGGTTTTCCCTGGGAGACATCCTTCTAGATCCCTACAGCAGCACTAGGCTGGGCTGGCTCTGATAAACCTTGGGAGGGGGCTTGAGGGTGATCTCCCTGAAATCTGCTAAGTACCTACAGCCAGTAGGATTAAGAAAGTCAGACCTCGAATATCCCTGGAAATTCCTCATTCTGACACCATTCCCCACCAATGCTCATCACCTGTCTCAGCCACTCAGACCTGATGAAGCTTATTTATTATCTGACTAGGATTTCCAGAGGAGGCCCCGATGCTCCCTCCCCCTGTTCAAAGACTTTTGGTGAGAGGCCATGCACCGGGCACTGCGGTGTTTAAGCCTCTCTCTGTATCTCTCCTTGTCTTACGCCCATCTCCTCCCAGAACGGAGCCATTATGAACAAGGGCACGGGGCGCTGCCTGGAGGTGGAGAACCGGGGCCTGGCTGGCATTGACCTCATCCTCCGCAGCTGCACGGGCCAGAGGTGGACGATTAAGAATTCCATCAAGTAGTGGGGGGAGCTGGGGACCCGGAGCCTGGCCTCTCGGACGGGGTCAGCCACCCTGGTGGAGAGACAGCCGGGAGCCAGCAGGTGCTCATGGGCGTCCGGGGCTTCTCCAGGGCAGCGTGGGGGCCCAGATGGAGACACTGTGTCCGCATCAGACACTCAGCTTCCATGAGGCTCCTGCACCCTGGAAAAGCACCCCCCACCCCTTCTCTGGGAACCCAGGAGCTGTGTCTTCTGCAGCCCTGATGTAGATCTGGACCAAGGAGCGAAACATCCACATCTCTGCCGTCATCTTTCCACCCACTGTCAGGACTGACTGGCAGGGGCCTCTCCTCTCTCTCATCTTTTACAGCAGCAGCTTCAATTCCACCCCGGCCCTCAATAAAGTGTGTGGGGGGGGCTAAGCCATGTCCTAGCTCCCCTTGCTCAGGGGAGGCAGCAAGGCCTGAGACTCAGTTTCCCCTGAGGTTTCTTCTGCCCAGATGTCCATTCACAACCAAGGCAGCCTCCAGCCCAAACCTTTCCATTAGGTGGCGCTGGGGGCTACAGCTCTGGATTTTTCTGGACCCTCCCCTAGATGGCCAGTGAGGAGCTGACACTTCCATGGCCACCTGGGCATTAATTAGGCTCCTATGTTCCTGGGCCAGCTCTTCTGTCCAAATCTGGAGGGAGCTGAGACAGGAACAAGCTGAGCACACAGGGTGGCCTGAGCTGTGAGGCCCCCAGGTTGGAGCCAGGTCAGTGTCACTCTGCCTTCCCAGGGAACAGGGAGCCCTGACTCACGGGGCCTCCCACAGGGGGAGCAGCAAGAGGCCTCCACCTGGACCTCTAGGACTGGAGCCAGCACAGCTTAGGGGCCAGGACCCTTGAGGATGCTCTGTGCCCATCTCATTTCAGCCCATGTTCCACTGGCTGACAGGGGAGAAGGCAGTCGATTCCTCTCTGAAGAGTAATAATTTTTTTTCGATTGCCCTCTGGTTAGGGTGCACTTATAAATCAGAGTTAATATATGGACGTGTGTGCATGCGTATGCGTATGTGTGCCTGTGTGGTGCGTGGCAGGGCGTGTGCAGCTGCATGTGCGTGCGTGCATGCGTGACATCACGTGGCATGTGTCTGGGTGTGTGTGCCTGAGTGTGTGGTAGAGCAGATGTAGAAGTATGGCTTTGGGCTTGCGCTTCACTGCTCGCCTGGATCAGGACAAGGCTGCTGAGAAGCTCGGGGGATGAGGGGTTGGCCACACATTTGGCCAGAAGGATGTGGCTCGGCCTTGCCCCTTGTGGTACCCCAGACAGAAGGCTGTCCTTCTTCCGGTTCCCATCTCCCTCCCTCATGCTGTCCCCAGAGGCCAAGCCCCGCCCAGAATCAAACCCTGTAGTTGCCCAGTTTGGGGTTCCTATGTCTCATTTGGTGGCATTTGTTGGTGATCAGCCCCACCCCATCTTCCCCCTTGTGAAATAAATACATGTGAGCACTTCCCAAAGCAGCCTTGTTTGCTTCTTGGTTTCTCCATAACCTGGAGCTCGGGAGTTCCTGGGGAGTGGCCGAGGGCTCCTTTGGTTTGGGAGTTTGGTCTTATTACAGGCAAAAGCTCTCACAGCTTAGAGCTGAGACAAATCCAGCCAGCCCTTGCCTTAGCCTGTGCCCTGCCCCCAAAGCAGGACAAGGTGTACTGTGGCACTGGCTTACTAACCCCTTACTGGATTAGGAGGGTAGGGTCAGGCTGGTGCCAAAACCTCTAAGGGAGAGGAGGGTTGGGGGTGACCTGGCTGAGCCATCCAGGTCCACCCCCTCCTGCTGCCAGGCATTGACTCCCACCTCTGGAGACCATGGAGCCTGTGGTGAGGCATCTGCCCCTTCTGTTCATGGAAAAGTGAAATCCGAAGAGACGCCAGGCCTTCTGTCCTGGAAATGCTTATGGAAGAAATGGGGGGGTCCCCTGGGCTGTGACAGCCCCATGCCTCTTCCCTTGTGGAGGCCAAGAAGGTTCATCTTGTTCGGTGTCACACAACACACAGACATGCTGACCAGTTGCCATTTTTCTTCTGGGTTCTACGAGAATCGGGGTCTACAAGCACGTCAATGGAAAATGCTGCTGCTTGGTAATGCGTTCGTCAAACTTAAATATCAGAGTGTCTTGGTAACTGTGAAGTGAAAATTACTGAAGATCTGTGGGTTCCCATGTGGGGTCCGGGGAGACGCTGAGGTCATATCACAAGCTGGTGCTTTGGGAGGAGTCCTGCCCTGGCTGAGTCATCCTCTCCTGTGTGGGTCCTAATGTGGAGGTTCAAAGACAGCAGTATCCTCGTTAGCTGAGACTGAGCCCAAATCCCTGTGAGGTTCTCAGTGGACCCCTGTGGGATCTTCCCTCCTACAGGAAATGGACTGAAACAGCCTCAGACCAAAGAAGCCAAAAAACCTGCTCTGTTCTCCCACAAGGTCCAAGGCCAGGTCCGGGCTGATGGAACAGGAGCCCACTCTGCAAGCTCACGGCACCTCGGGCTCAACTGTACTCTAAGGCCGCACCCCTAGAATAAGGCCACAGGAGTGTCCCGAAACTGCAAGAGAAATGCCCCTCCTCTTGCACGAAACCAGCAGCAGGAAGGATGTTTGGGTGGCCTCCTTGTTTGGGGGGAGGCGTGGCGGGGCTGGTTGGGGACCAAGGGAGACTTTCGCCTCCAGGCACCAGTATGTGTGCTCTTGCCCTTGGTTCAGCGTCCAAGGGGCCTGGGCTCTTTGTTCCTTTGGGCACAGGCTGTCAGCACTCACCTCAGCTTCCAGAATCCCAAAGGTGAGGCTACCGGGGACACTGGCCAGAGCACAAGGCCAGCATCCGCAGTCAGCACTCTCTTTGCCCTGCAGGGTCCCAGTGGGCCTGAAGACTGTGGGGTGTCAGGGCCAAGGCAGAGAAGAGGAATTCATGAAGCCAGAGGTGGAGGAGAGAAGAGAAGCGGGGCCCTGGGGGAGCCTGGGTTCCCCAGGTCTTGGGGGAATCTGGAAGTTCCAGAGACCCACATCTCTGACCGGGACTGGGCAGCAGGCCCTGAGCATGGGGCTTGGAAACCTTACAGTCCGTCGTTGCAAGTTGGCACCATCTGTAGTTTGAGAAGTGGCAGGTCGGTCTACCTCACTCAGCCGCACAGGTGGACGCTGCAGAGCCAGCTGAGTTCTGCCAACCTTTGCTAGTCTCCCTCTGTCCCCTCTGTCCCCTCAGTGCCCTCACCCTGCAGTTCCCCATCATTCCCCATCGCTCTCCACGCCCCTGTCCGGTGACGATTTCTTTCTCTTTTCTCTATTTCCCGCCTCATTTTATATGGCAGAAATATCACAGGTCGCATTTCTGATATATGTCCATGCCACCGAAGCCGATATCTTTCAATCTATATGTGTTATTTCTCCAATGTGTTCTTTATACTTATTCTGGTGGCTGGAAAAGGCAAAGGAAATAAAAAAGCCTGGGAAAGCACAATGTAGGCCTGAAGCCACCATCTTCGGCCACCCCAAGCCATTTTACTTGGGTTCCTGAAGCCATTTTTTTAATTCAATTGATGTTTTTTCCCACCATTCTTGAAAAGTATCCCCATTTCACAAAGGGCAGAAGCCAGGCCCAGGCAGAGCTGGCCACTCTCCCAGGGCTGGGGATGAGGGAGTTGTCCCTGATTTGCGTGCTGTCTCCTTCTTCCACTTGTTGCTCTGAGAAGGGCTGAGGGACATCTGGCCAGGGTGGGGTGGGCTTCGGAGGGGTCTGGAGTCTGCTCAGGGAACCAGGTTGCCCTTGAAATCTGGGAACTGCCAGGTGGCTGGCTCAGGGATCAGGAATCAGGGATCAAGGCTCAAGGTTCAGGTTCCGATCCCCGCTCATCCCCTAGCATTTCAGTCTCTTGTTTTGATTCGAGCTGCTGAGTAGCAGTTGGGCTGACGGATCATCAGCTCCTGATCGGCTGCCCCTTCCTCTCTCCTGAATCATGAATCCACGTGTCTTGGCCACTCTGCTTCCTCACTCACCAGGCAAGTTTCCTAGACCTGAGTATGGGGAATAGCGGTGGGCCCCAGACTCTAGAAGCCCATTTCAGTTCATTTCAACAAATATATTTGGACACATATCCTGTGGTTTGCTTCTTGGAAGGGAGGGAGGGAGGCAGGAAGAAGGAGCTACATACACTGAGCAAGTAGGTGATGAACATCATGACCTTTAGCCTTTGAAGCTTATATTGAGAGAAGAAAATAGACAAATATATTGGGCTTCCCCAACCCTGGAGCCTTGGCAATCACAAAATGAGGTCAATGCCTATTGTCATAAGTGGGGGTCTTGGCATATTTGCAGATTCCAATGTCCTTTCCCCAAACCGATGGCTGGATCTCGCGGTGTAGCTCCTGGCTTGCCTGCTGCCCATTGCCATGGGCTCCCGCCCTGCCCGAGCACAGAGCCTACCTGAGGCACTGAGAAAGCCAGGCGAGATCACCGATGCTGCTGACGGCTGCAGAACACAGGAGACTGCCGGGCCTCGCCAGTTGTTATCAGCATCTTTAACAAATGGTCAGGGGTTTCACATTGCTTCAGGATCAATATATCTAATCCACTCTCCCACTGGATGCCCGCCCACCTCCAGGTAATCAGCCATATCTGCTTGATAGTCTAGAGACAGCTTGTTCTAGAGCAGAAAACTTGCTGACAGCCAAGCATACTCCAAATCTCAGTAACCTCTTCCCACTGTCCTGCCCTCTGGGGCTCTGAAAGCAAGATCAGCTGCGTTCACATTAGCTGTGCCATTCACATCGGCTGAGTGCCTCAAAGTCTCCCGCACCTCCCCCCAGGCCTTCACCACACTATTGTCTGTGTGCATGGGTTATGCTATATACCAAAGAACTTATATGCATATATGCATAACCCATGGTTAACCTTCTTGGCTAGGGAAGCCGTGTCCCAGTTTGCCACGGGATTGGGCATACATTGTGGGAAATGCTTGCTTACTGTTTCTTAGGAAAAGCAATAGATGGAATTCTCCTAAAGAGATAAACATTCCTCACAGAACTTCAGGGTTAACCTAATTTATTTTTCAATTTAGTGTTTCTCAAATATGTATAAAAGTAAAAATGGCTTTTGTTCATAGGCCCATTACAACTATAAAATCAAAATAAATGTACAAGTCAATACAAAGAAATCTCCAAAGTCAATAAAATGTAAGTTAACAACATTGATTCAAACTGTGGCAGCGTTGCTTATGGAGCGAAACTGCTGCTGCTTCGGATGTGGCCAGGGCCCCCCTCTTCTCGCGGAGGCTCTTCTGTGCCTGGTGATCACGTCAGAGGGTGAGGTTTCTACAGAATCCTCCTGAGGAATGGCATTGGTGATCCTGTCATGGAGATAACAGAAAAGAGTATAAGCACTACCCAGGTTTTACATTTTCCCCAGACGTTTTGCCTTTGAAAACACGTGGGAGGAAATGAAACTTCCCATCCTGACCTGAGTCACCAAAACAAGTTTCTGGTGCCCAAGGTCTTTGGATTTCTCTGCATCATTACCAGCCACGACCTCTCCAATTCACAATTCCTGTGCTTGAATTAAAGGTGCCTGTGCCTTTGCTCAAACGAGCAAGGCTTAGAAAATGAAAATTTAAACACAAAGCTATTTAACTGCACAACTTCTAAGTGCCTGAGAGACCCACCTTGAGATGCATCACACCGCTCTGCTATTTGTACCTACTTCTCAAGTGTTCTTTAAAGAGGGTCCCCCACCTGGTGCCAAGGTAGAAACCAGAGGGCAATTCTGGTACCGTGTGAGCTGAAACTGTATTTCTTTGCCACCGTTTTATAATTTAGCTTCCCTTTGCCCCCACAGGCCCAATCCTAACCTACCATGAATTTGCCCAAATTACTGAGGTGCCAAGCGTTTCTCAGGGCTGCTTCTAGAATTCTTTTGGAGGGTGGGGTTGCTGCTCTGGCCCCTGGGGTGAACTTGTGCTTCTTCCCCAGAGTTTCTGTGAGGCCCTAAGCAGTAGCCAGCGCAGCACTAGGCTCAGAGCAGGTAGCAGCCGAAGAAATTGACTCCCTGCAGGAGCCTGGGGAGGGAGAAAGCCAGAAATTCC